AGGCACCTGTGGCGCGTGATCTGGGCGTCGCGTCCTCCTCCTCCTCCTCCTGCCCCTCCTCCTCCTCCTCCCCCTCCTCCTCCTCCCCCTCCTCCTCCCCCCCTAGCACCGGCCGCGCTCCCGGTACTGCGGCCACATGACGTCCTGGGGCCCGAGGCCGAACGCGGTGCCCACCTGTGCCGCCTCCTCCCCCGTGCCCGTCATGTCCCCCGGCCCCCGCTCCATGGTGGGGGGCGAGACGGCGTGCGGGAGGACCACCACAAGTAATGCGGGATGACGATTAAGGAACAAAATGAGGGAGAACGATTAAAAAAAATAGTTTTCTGCTATTTCTGCACAATTTTCTGACTGGAGGACAACGATGAAAAAATGTTTTCCAGCCCGCGGCCGGTTTTTTCTAATCGTCATCCCGGGCGCCGCTGCGTGAACACGACCCCCGGTCATGTATTGATCGTCATCCTCCATTAGATCTGGGGCGGGAACATGTTATGAGGCAAATGCTGGGAGGTCATCGTCGGGAAGGTGATGGAGAATCGAGCCCCCTTGGGGGGCTGCTGCGCTGGATGCGGCCGCAGATTCTGCGGGATTGAGCGTGAGCTAGCCAGACTCAGCGGGATCAACAGCCTGATTCAGCTGGATGTCAGACCAGGGCCAAGTCACAATGTGACCTCCCAGGAGTGGCATCCGCAAATATGGCCCGGGGAAGTGGTCGGGGCCTCTGGGGCCGCGCATTGAAGCCTCGTTTCGTCGGATGTCTTGGGGGGCGTTCGCGCCAAGGCCGCCACGTCCGGCACCTGGCCCAACCAACCGCCCTCGGCACCCGGGATGCTGCGCCCACGGGGGCTGCAGAGAGCCGCGCGCCCGCGCAGCTGTGCTGATCGTCGGCACGAGTGGCGTTGCCGGCATGCAGTCGTACACGCGCGAGCGCCACACGCTCGCGCGCGCCCTGCCCCCCCCCCTCCGCAGAGTGGGCGAGCCCGTGTCCCCCGTCTTCGGCCCACCTGGGGGGGGGCCCTGTGGGATGCCTCGTGGATCCCCATGTGGCCGATTCCGGAAGCCCTGGACTCAACCCAGACCCCCGACGTCATGATTTTTTCATGACGTCGACCCCCAGAGGTCTGGACCCACTCCCCAGGACCGGTTTTTCGTCCTGAGTCGTTTTTTGACGCTCCCGAGGGCCGGTGAGGGCCCCCAGAGTCCAAAACTAATGAAAAACCTCCCGTCGTGATTTTTTCATGACTCGCGGGGGTCTGGGAAAAGCGGTGTTGTCTCTCGCGGGCGGATACTTGACGTCCCCCGCCTGCCGCCGCCCTCCCGCCGGCTTCCACCTGCGGAGGCGGCCTCGCTTTTGCTTCCGCCGACCTCCCGCCGCCCTCCCGCCGCCTTTTCCGCCGAGGAAGAGACGACACCTCCGTGGGTACGGCAGGTTCGCGTCGTGTCGACCCCGACGTTGGTTTCTGACACCGCGGGGATCGTTCAACCTTGAACGATCGGCCGCTGCCGCAACGTCCGATCGTTCAACATCGATCGATTCTGGGTCGCCGGCGGCGTTCAACCTTGAACGCCCGCGCTGGGGTCGCAGCTGGTCGACACGACGCAAACCTACCGTACTCGAAGGCGAGGCCCTTTCTGGAACGCCTCAGGTGTGCATCCCATGCTCCGACACTTTGCTCAGTGAGGGTCTGAGCGTGAGCATGCCTGGGCACGAGCGCGACCGAGTGGGAGTGAGCGTCCGAACGTTGGCGCTGCTTTTTCCCGCGCTCTCTGCCGCTACCTGCTGATGTGTGCCTCTCACTGCTGAGTTGTTGCTCGACTCTCTGATACTCTCTGAACGGGTCTGTGCAACTCGTGGCGAGTTTTTGCCACTCTCCAAAACAAACCTTCTTTCTCCTTCATCTTCTCTTCCGCCCAGTCGACATCCTGCGGGAAGGCCCCATTGTAACGCCTGCTACATCGCGGATGTCATGGGGCTCTCAAAGAAGATTCGTCTGAAGGTCCAAGCAGTCCGGGCGCGAATGGGCCCGTGAAAAAACCGTGTAAGACACCCACTTGGGAGGACCACCTGCCAGGCCTGCTGCACCGCGATGATCATGGGGCTCAGGGTATTCGGGTAAGTGTGTGTATGAGTGGAGAAAACCGAGTACGAGCGAGTACGAGCATGCGTGGATCTGAAAGTGATGAGTTCGAGCATGAGTGGTCTGAGCATGAGCGAGTCTGAGTACGAGTGAGCCTGGGCATCTTGCGGGGTCGTCTTCGACACCGTCTGGCGTGCCTCCAACCAGTTTTTAGGGCCGTTTTCTCGGGGGCGGACAGGCCCCCTGTGGCATGCCAAACAACTTTCAGTGAAAGCGACCCGAAGAGCGCCCCGCCCGCAGAGATTGTGGCCGCGCAGCGCCCTCGACAACCGGATACGTAGTGACAATTCTCTAGAAATCGACTCGGAAGGTTAGGGGCTCTATCCACCTCCGACCTCTGGCTCGCCAGGCGAGTACCACGGGAGGGGCGGGCGGTGAGCGCTTGAAAAGTGCCGGCTAGAAGGAGATCCGGCCCTGCCTCTGCAAGGAGCTCAAGATCTGGTCCACGACGCTCACGCGCACCATGGTCCGGTGCATGGCCACGGCCTCTTCCAGAGAGAACGGAAGCACCGCGCCGCTCGCGACGCGGCCCTCCTCGTCGACGAGGCGCAGCACCGGTATGGGGCCGGCCGCCTGAGGTTTTTCTTGGATTCTGGCAAGTTTACTTGCATGAGGGGGGGGCGGGGGCGGGGCGAGGCCTGAGAGGAAACCGAGTTAGTCTTCACGCAAATCGGGACTCGCACACCTTTTTCTGCCCAGCGCCGCTTGACACGGCGAAGAGTGGGGGGGAGATGGAACGCCATGTACGCAAACTTGCCAGAGTCTATGGGGAAGCCAAAACGTACCGATACCGCTGCTCCCCAAATCTCTCCTCGGGCGCGTTCTGATCGGAATCTCTAGGAACACCCGGCGGCGGCGACGAGGGCCCCCCAGGAGGCCCAGAAGGGGGAACACCAGGGAAGGGTAGCAGCATGGAGTGCCTCTCCCTCCTGAGCCTCACGAGCAACGCCGCCTTCCGGAAGGCGGGCGTGCTCGTCAGCACCGCGGGGTCCCTCAGGCCCGCAAACTGCGCGAGCCCGCGCCGGCCCCGCCCGGCTGCCGCGGCGCCGGGCCCCCTCGCGGCAGCGGCCGCCGGGGCCCCCAGGGAGACTGCGGCGCGTCGGCTCGCGAAGGCGGCGCCCGCCATGCTGGACGAGGAGGGGCCCGACGTACACTCCACGTCGCTGAGTCGGCCGAGGAGCTCTCTGCGAGCAGGGGCCAACCGTCCCGGCAGTCCTAGTGGGCAGGGTCTCAGAACCGAGCAAAAAGTTCGAATCACGAAGACAATGACAATGTTGTTGGAACATGGGCCCGGTGTATGAAGAGAAGAGTCTTGGCCAGAAACGTTCTAAGAACATTTCGTGCAACACAGCAAACGCTATTAGAACATGCTCTGGTGGGCCTGCAGGCAAGCCAGGATGCTCCGCCACTGTTCGGTTTCTGGGAAGACAGACCTGCATAAACATACACTTTCGGAGCTCCGCGCGAGATTCTTGGATCCTCGCCAGTCCGCGCTCCCTGGCGCGCGGAACGTGCCAGAGGCGGCCCGCCGAAGGCGCCGCCAGAGCCTTCTGGCGCAGATCCAAAGAAATCCGCGCGGAGCTCCGAAAGCGTACATTTCTGCCGTGTTGACTTCCTCGAAACCCGGTGTAGACGCCCCAGCTGCCAAGCCTGCCCGTAGGACGCTGCAGAGCCTGTGCACCGAGTTCCTTCGCCGAGCTCCTTGGGGCCCTGGCCGACCAGACGGCGTGGTGTATATACCTCGAGCCCCCCCGATCGACGGCGGGGCCAGGGCGCGCAGGGGGGGCAGCCCCAGGGGCTTGCCGGCGCGCAGAGGGGGGCAGGGCGAGGCGGGAAGGCTTCTGAGGAGGAGGCTGCTTCCAAGAAGCCTTCCCCCCTCACCCTAATCCAATAGCCCTTATAACTGCGACGAGGCGACGATCGAAAGCAGTGCCCCGGCACTGCTTTGAACGCGTTCAAAGCAGTGCCCCGGCACTGCTTTGAACGTATGATATGATGATATGATGATGATTATGATTGATGATGATGATGATTTTTCCAGCGTACACTGTCCGCAACTGCGGCAATCAACATCATGTTCCACTTGCCCGCAACTGCGGCCATCACCAACGCTGCCCCTCGAAGCTCCACGGAGGGCGCTCGGCAGGTCGCCCGCTCGAGCCCCACTCGACTTCACGCTGAGGAGGCGAGCCCTCAGGGGCATTGTCCGCAACTGCGGCATGATCAGAGGGCCACCACTGCGCGCCATCAGCGCCCCATTCGCTCGAGCTCCAGTCCCACCAGGACCAGCCCTGCCATCTCGTGGCGGGACTGCGCGCCTCCCATGCGCCGCTGCCGCTGGCGTCCCAGGACCCAGCCGCCACTGCGGCCCAAGAAGGGGTCGCATCGTCGCCGTTGGCAGCTTGCGGCGGTGGCGTGTTCCCAGCTCGCTCAGCCCCAGCGTCTCTCCCCGCAACTGCGGTTCCCATCTGGGGTCGGACGCCCTTCCCCGCAACTGCGGTGTCCGCGTAGCTGCCCTTCTTGCCGCCCTTCTTGCCGCCCTTCCTGCCGCCCTTCCTGCGTTCCAACCTCGCGGCGAGTCTTTCAGGTGACCTGCGGCACGTATTGTGCGTGAAAGCCACCAGAGGGAAGTGCGCTCCGTGCCTCGCCCTGCCGAAGGCGCCATGCCATATCTTGTCGTCGAGGTTGCCCTGCTTCACTCTGAAGGGATGGCGCACCCAATCGTCGCGTTCCCTGCGCGCCATCCTTTGCTCGAACTCCGCAACTGCGGTCAAGGATTCGCCAGATGGCGTCAGGAAGGCGCGCATCTTGTTTTCAACGGGCTCAGCCTTGGGCACGTAAGTCTGAAGCATCTTCCCAGGGCCATTCGTGTAGTCGAAGACAGGGAAAGACGGATCATGCTGGGTCGTCAAGAATCCGCCCTCACGGTCGTGCAGAACACTCAGGCCATGGTGAAGCTTGTACTGCCCAGGACAGTTTATGAACAAAATCGCCATGCTGTCTGCCCTGGGCTGGCCGCCTGCTGTCTTCCAGGGGGTCCACGCGGCGACGTCCACAGTCAGGCCGCAATTGCGGCACCAGGACACAAGCTGGAACATGCACATGTTGAAGTCCCCCATGCAGACCTTCACGTCCCATTCCCTGACGTAGGCGACGAACCAGTTGTAGAACTCATGGAGCTTCGTGACGCCCCAGTCTTGGTTGGCCAAGCTGTGGTGGACGTGCACCGCCATGACGTTGAAGGAGCCCCCCAAATGGGGCACGGCCTGGTCCAGGTGGACGCGCACCACCATCGCCCTGGAGTACTTGTTGTGCAGCTTTGGCGCAGGAGCCTCCGCAACTGCGGACTGTTTCTTCTTCTTCTTCGTTTTGGACTTCTCCTGCTTGTGGAAGAGTCTCGCAAAGTCTACGTGTTCAATGTGGCCGCCACTGCGGTCCCTCATGCCAACAAGGAGGGTCCCTGATGGCTCGCCGCCCTTAACGCACAGGTAGTTGTATTGAGTCCGACTCCGAAACCTATCGTCCGCAACTGCGGCTGCACTGTCCCTCGCGTCGTGCTCCCCACTGAGTACCGCGCAGGTCTCGTCGTCGCACTCGCAGAGGGCGATGATCTGGGCAGGGTTCGCGCGGAGCTGCGCCCACTCGTCCGCGCGTTGCGTGGGTCTAGCTGCAGTCCCTCCGAAGTTGGCCACGTAGAAGCCGACCCGTCCCGCTTCGAACTCCGTTTTCTCCTCCCATGCGTCGACAAGAGCTCTTTGTTTTTCCGACAGATTGCTTGTCTCGATGATGGGCACCCGTTTCCAGGGTCTCCGCGACGACAACACTCTCGGCATGTAGGAGTCATGTGCTGCCGCAACTGCGGCTCCCGCACCTCCCCGGGACTCAGCCTCGTCAGCGGAGGCAGCCGAGGACGCGACGGTGCTGTCGCCATCTTGCGTCCGCTGGTCGTCGTCATCATCCGCAACTGCGGCTTCCTCGTCTTTGCCTCCCTCCTCCTCCTCAGCGTTGTGGATGAACACCGTTCTGGCGAATCGAGGTCCACGGTCCATACTCCCTGAGGATGCGCTCGGGCGCGCGGGCGGCCACATGCTTGCGTCTTCGCGTGCGCCACCTCGAGCCACGGTGGCTACGGAAATGGATCGTGAATGGGCATGGGGTCGGATGGAGGGAGGAGACAAAGAGGATTCGAGGAGTGGCAGAAGGAGGGCGAGGACTCAAAGGAACCGAAAGAACAACAAATGGACTGGCGGAGAAGCAGAAGGAGGGCGACGATTGCAAGGGACTGTGAAAGGATTATTTTCACAGCAGCAGGAAGACCGCAACTGCGGTTTTGCCTCATCTCCTGCCCGCGCGGGAGCCGCTTGGAAAAACAACTTCCCTCTGGACTTCCTGTGGGTCCGCAACTGCGGCCTGCATCACGCTAGGGCTGGGATTACCAGCGCCATTTGCCCTCCCAGGGTTCTCACTGTTTCCGAATGCACGAACTGCGACAGCGCCGAACGGTTCCCAGACGCCGCGTCGTTCGCGACTTTTTGCAGCCACCCAGCAAACGTGAGCGGCCATTGCTCCTTGTGCTGCTTGCACATCTCCTCGTCCCAATGCGTCTTGAACCATGCCCACTCCCCCCTCTGCTCGTCTGAGAGGACGCCTTTTCCGCGAGCCAGGCGATCCAGAGCTGCCATCCTGTTTTTCTTGATCTTGAACTCCTCGGGATTCCACTGCGCTAGGGCGTGTTTGTTAGCCAAAGCCGTTTCCACCGCAACTGCGGCCTCCTTCTTTGCCCTCAAGGCGGCCTCGGCCTCTCGAATCTGCTTCTTGAGATCGTGCAACGCCTTCGTCCTGTCGTTCGCTTCCAGAGCCAGGCGCCGCTTTTTCGCCACCACTGCGGCTTCGTGGTCTCGCTGGGCAGTCAACGCTCGTAGGACCTCGTTGTCCTCCCGCGCCAGCTCTCTCAACCGCTTCTTTTGTTTGTGTCGTTGCTGTCGGCAATCCTGCGCTAGTTTCTCCATGCCCACTTGGCGCAGCATATCTTCCGCCTCGCGGAGCGTTTCTGCCAAGGACGTCGCCACTGCCACCTGCTCGGCCGCCTCTGCGTCGACCACGCAGTCCATGGATACCGAGGATCCTTGAGGCCCAGGTGCCGCAACTGCGGCATCGCACTGTTCCGCAAGAGCCTCGGCCCACGAGGCCTCCTCTTGCTCTTCGTCCTCCTCGTGCTCCTCGTGCACCTCCTCCTCCTCCTCCTCCCCGCCCTCCTCATCGCCCTCCTCGTGGCCTGGCTCCTGGCCTAGCGCTTCGTCGCCGAGCTTCTCCAACACGGAATCTGTGGCGTCGTGTTTCTCGTATTCGTGTATGAGACGCAGCACGTCATTGTAGGACCATTTCAAACGTTTCTGCTCGCATTCTTCCCTCACCTCCGCGACTGCGGTGTCCACTTTTGCTCGCAGCCCCCCTGCTTCCCAGAGTTCCGCCGCCTCTCGGCAAATCTCGAGATCTCCTGACTTGTCGAAGGGCGCTCGAATTCCCACTTTCAGGAAACCTTTCGCGGCGTCCAAGTGCAACTGCACATTCTCCAACACTGACAGCATCAAGTCGGCGCAATCGGAACGCCGCAACTGCGGCACGTGCTTCCCCAACGCCATTTGCTGCACCAGCGCTTTGGTCTCGAGGGCAATGTACCGGCGCTTCACGTGCTGGTTCAAGTCCGTGTCCACGGGCTGCGCAACTGCGGTCGTCCCCCCGCCGTGAATGATCAGCACGTAGCCGCGCTGCCAGGCGAGTCTCCGCACAGCGTCTGCTTTGTGCGGGGAATGGTCGTCGGCCATGAGGATGCGCCACTTTCCCCGCAACTGCGGGTCGTCGGGCCAGGCCCGCAAGTGCCGCTGCAAGAATGATACAACGTCGTCTGCGCGGTAGGACCCCTTCTCGGACGTCGCCGTGCTCACCCAAGACGGATAGCCGCGACTGCGGGCATGTGCGGCCAAGCCCTCAGCGATGACAGATCCCCCCTTGAACATTAGCTCCGCCGGCGGTGGTCCGCAACTGCGGATGTCCTCCGCGTCGCTCGACACCGTCAGGTTCGCTGTCCACCGAGCCCTGCTGTCGTCATGCGCCTCGACAAGCGGGACAATGCCACCCTTCACAGCCAAGGTCGGCTTCGAGGCCGACGACGACTCGTTGTGGTGAAAGGGCGACTGGTCCCAGTTCAGGATGTGCGGGTCGTACCCCAGAAGCTCCTCTGCAGCTGCGCGGACCCTGGCCACGTTCAAGATCATAGTCTCAAAACGAGATTGGAGCAACCATTTTGGCACCTTGTACTTGCGGTTCGGCTTCTTCATGCTCAGGCCGTAGGAGCGCCGCCACTTCACCCACCACCGAGGCCGCAACTGCGGCACCATCGGTTTGCCTCCCCGCTTCATTGTCTCCACGCAGTAGTCCGCGACGAGTTGCTTCGCCTTCGTAACCAGCAGGGATTGGGAGAACCTGGCCAACATCTTGGGCCTCTCCTCCGCAACTGCGGTTCGCTTGGCCACCGCCTTCCAGTCCACGGAGTACCTCATGTGGGACCACCACTCGTACAGAGCGGCTTCCAGCCATGGAGCCTTGTTCGGGCGCCCTTGGTTGCCCCGCGCGCGGCGTCGGCCATGCACGCCCGCCGTGCCATGTCCACCTTGTGTGCGCCAGTTTTGAAACCACTTGGAGACGGCCTGGCGCTGCTGGACGACCCCCATGCCCTTCGGCCACGTGAACCGCCCGCAAAAAGACGCGATTGAATTCCGTGGCAGAACGCCCTCGCCC